TATATGTATATATATATATCCATATTTCTGGCTATATATGTGTGTGTGTGTGTGTGTGTGTGTGTGTGTGTGTGTGTGTGTGTGTGTATAGAGAGAGAGTCAGAAAGATGTATGAGGCCGAGTGACTATGGTGATAGGTGACTTTTTATTATTTTTAAAAATATGATCCCCTAAACTGGAAAAATACCTACAGTATTAATCCCTGCCCCATTTAGGCATTTAGCCAGTTTGCCTGCTGCCCTCAAATTGATGATTATTTTTTAAGAATCTTTCCTTTGGTGGTTGTTTGAGTGATATTTCAGACTTGTTGATGCTAACATTTTGAACATTTTGATGATATGGCCTCCCTCCAGGCAGCACAGGTACTTACACTGGGGAGCTGGGCCACTAGCCTGGGCCACTGTTCCAGTCCTAGATCCTTTCCTCAGAAAGTGTATGCTGTCACTCAGTTCTTCCATTGATAAAAGAGGGGGAGATACTCACCCTGCAAGAATGTTTTATGAGAGTAATCTTTTTGTTTATAAAGTTCAAACAAATATTAAATACAGTTCTTGTTAGTTTTATAACAAGGGCTAAGACAGAAGTCTTTAACCAGGGGTTCTGCAGTGATCTTTTGTTTTGTTTTGTTTTGTTTTGTTTTTTGGAGCCGGGGATCGAACTCGGGACCTTGCGATTGTGAGGCAGGCAGTGGAACCACTGAGCTAAATACCCGGCCCCACTGCAGTGATCTTTATGAGCCCATGAACATTTATAAACCCGGTGTAAAATTTGTATATGTGTGTTTTTAATTTTGGCTTCAATGAAGATTTAGAATCACTGATTTAAAGGAGATATATATATATGTATATGTGTGTGTGTATATGAAAGGCATTTTTGTCATTAGGAAGTTCTTTGCATGATTTTTTCATAAGAATATTCTAACTTTAATATTTCTTCTTTATAGGTACTGTACTGATGATATGTTGCAAAGAGAAATGATGTCCAATCCTTTTTTGGGTAACTATGGGGTCATCATTTTAGATGATATTCATGAAAGAAGCATTGCAACAGATGTGTTACTTGGACTTCTTAAAGATGTTTTACTGGCAAGACCAGAACTGAAGCTCATAATTAACTCCTCACCCCTCCTGATCAGCAAACTCAGTTCTTACTATGGAAACGTGCCTGTCATAGAAGTGAAAAATAAGCACCCTGTGGAGGTTGTGTACCTTAGTGGGGCTCAAAAGGATTCTTTCGAGTCTATTTTACGCCTTATCTTTGAAATTCACCACTCCGGTGAGAAGGGTGACATTGTAGTCTTTCTGGCCTGTGAACAAGTAAGTGATAAGGTATTTCATTTGGAAAGCTTTTAATAACTAACAGAGTTTCCATTTGCTAATTAACTGTTTAAATATTTGGCTTCATCACACCTCATTTTTTAACACTTAAAAAGCATAGGTAGGGTAAATAAAACCCGCACTACAAAGGGGACAAGGAATGTTGGTACAATTGCATGCTATTCTGGAAACAAAATGAGGCAGCATCTCCAGAGTTCGCAGAAGTGATCTCCAGAACCAGCTCTCTGCCCTGGCAGGCTGTACTGCAGCCACCCAGTGCACAGCTGCCAGTCTGCGACCTACTGTCATTGTTGCCTCTTGGCTCTGCAGACACATGGGCACCTGGCACACTCTCAGCTGCCTTTCTGTGACCAGGCACATTTGTTGGAGATCAGGAATCTAACCTAAGCACTTGGGCTAGAATTAAGCAACAACAAATTTCCTATAATGCCCCTACAGTCGTTAGTAGGCTATGGGGCAGAAACATAATTCATAGCATTTCCCAAAAGCCCATCTCCCTAAACTGGGGCTCTTTTTCTTGAAAAATAAGTGAGAAAAAAAATCTTAACTTGTATTTCTTACAAATTCTCTTCAAAGGAATGCTTCAAAATGTACAATTAAGCTTCTTTCCATTCTGTTAGCTTGTGCTTTTCTACAGTTACTGTATCTTTTGCTTTGTTTTTGTTTTTGTTTTTGTTGTTGTTGTTGTTATTGTTTTGGGAGGTTTTGTTGTTGTGGTTTGGTTTGGTTTGGTTTTGGTTTTTTGAGACAGAACTTACTATGTACCTAGTTCAGACTGGCTTTGAACTCACTATGTAGCCTTGGCCGGCTTCAAACTTGAGGTGATCCTCCTGTCTCAGCTTCCTGAGTGCTGGGATTACTGGTGTGCACCACTACACCTGAAATTAAGGTGCCTTTTTTTTTTTTTTTTTAATTGCCGCTACACTGATCCTATCTCCTCCTGTGGGCAGAATCTAAAAGCCTCCAGGATCACCAGAATTATACCTTTTGAGATCAATTGCCCAGTCCTTCTCCCTTCCACTCTTCTTACAGAATAAAAGGTCGAGATGCTAGGTCGTGACTCAAATATGCAGTGGTAATGGTGATTAAAGAGAAACCAGCAAGGAAACTGTGTGATGCAGGCTGAGCAACCAGCTGAATGGAGGCAAGCGCATCAGCTGCCTATCAGCCTCCCTTGTGCTTCAGCGGCAGCTCAGCAACTGTGCTGCTCCTCCTCAGAGCATGAGGAAGACCGATCCTCCCAGTGTGAGGACTTGAAGCATCTTTCTTACCACTTAAATTTTGTCTGTCTTCTTAAAGAACATTATTTAGAATCTCAAACAATATGCTACAGAATTTTTTTAAAAAAGAGATGACATATACTCTGAATATTAATCTACTTGCATTAGTGATTTATCCTATTACCATTCCTTAACTGTGATTTAGGTATTTAAGAAAGTCCTAAAGAAAGTAATAAAATGACTAAGGAGGCAGAAAATTTATAAGAACAACTAGGTCATCTTTAGTGTAACTGAGTAAAGCCTAAGTAAGGAAGAATAGCAAAATAAGTAAATCTAAAAAATTTGAGAATTTGAATTTCCAGGTTTTAAAAAAATACATTTCTGCAAAAAGAAAAAATGTAATTAAGATTCATTGGAAAAATAGTCACCTTCATCTTTCGAGTGATACCAGGGATCGAACTCAGGACCTTGCACTTTATGGAAATCTAGAGATTGTTGTATGAGTCATAGTCTGCTAGGTTAAAGTGTAGTGATGCATCATTGATGTGATAGTGTTCACCGGTCATTGTTAATGGCTATGAGAAATTACTTCAAGTTGGAAAAATGGTGGGATAAATGTATAAAGGCAAAGATGCACATTTCAAAAGACTAAAACCATTTTGGACTAAAAATAATGTAATTGTTTATAAATTATATTGAACTTCCCCGAAGAAATGTTTTCATCTTCTTCCCTCATTTTAAAGATTCATGTGGGCATTGACACAAGCACCTTCTTTCCTGTTTACATTATGCAGTGTTGCCTGAATCCTGACCTTTTTTTTTTTTCAAGTAGTAAAGTTGTTTGTGTTGTACTTTATTCTCATAGGTGATGTTATTCTTTGCTTTAGGATATAGAAAAAGGTTATGAGCTTGTCTGTCAAGAAGGATCTAACTTAAACCCAGACCTTGGAGAACTGGTGGTTGTTCCTTTGTATCCTCAAGAGAAGTGCACACTGTTCAAGCCAACTGATGACACAGAGAAAAGATGCCAAGTTTATCAAAGAAGAGTGGTATTAACCACTAGTTCTGGGGAATCTTTGATCTGGAGCAACACAGTCAGATTTGTTATTGATGTGGGTGTGGAAAGAAGAAAGGTAATTATTAGCAAGGAAACAAAGTAGTTTCCTGATGATTGCCAAGACCACTTTCCTAGGTTCCTGCAGTCTTACTGGCCTTACAGTGAGGATGATCTGTGTGACCTGGGGTTCTCTGAATTTGGTCACATGGCCACGGAAGAGTGATTGCAATGGCAACTGACGTTTGGCTCACATCTTTCTTTCCTTTTTGTTTGTTTGGGAGACAAACAAATCTTACTCTGTAGTCCAGGCCAGCCTTGTACTGGCTATGTAGTCCAGCCAGGCTGGCCTTGAACGCAAGCTCTTCCTGTTTCAGCTTCCTGAGAGCCAGGATTACAGATGTGAACCTTTACACCTTGCCAGCAGGTCATATCTTTGATTATATGTCATAGTCTGTAAACAAATTAACTAGATTGAGATGCCAGAGGAGGTTTTAAGGAAGGCCAAAACTTCAGCATAAAGGTGGTGATGGCCTCCTTCTCTGGTTTTTTGCTTTGTGTGTGTGTGTGTGTGTGTGTGTGTGTGTGTGTGTGTGTGTGTGTGTTTTCCTTTCTTTCTTTTTGAGAGGCATAAAGAGGTTTATTAGGAAAAATTTAAAGTATACACTCAAAATAGAGTGTGTGCCCTCAAAAAAATGGGCATAGTATAGACAAGCTGGGGCTATTTATGTGTTTGAAGAAGTGGAAATCTATAGAATTTGTGTTGCTTTTTCTTTGGATAAGGTCCTAGCACAGCAAATTATTTGGCCTTAGCTAATCTTTTTTTATATATCTATTGGATAATTTTTGGTAGCCCCTTTATCAGAATAATTAGTATCTTGCCCCGGGGTATTCACTAGAAATTAGTTTTGAGTGCAGACTTTAGTTGTAGCAAATATTGGTTTATAATTGACATAAAATTTTCATTCTAAATATTTTAGAAAATATAGTATTTAAAATAAAATACTATTTTATCATTACCTAAATGAAAATATGGTATCTCAAACTCTACAGACAGTGAACCAAAGAACGCATACCTTTTGAGGCCTGAAAGGAAACTACCAAATATTGACTCATTTACTATTAGATGCTGGGCAGCTTTTGTCCTTCTGGAACCCTGTTGGCCTCCTCAGTGTTTTTGTCATATAGTAACAGGGTAATCCTACTAGTTATGCAGATTCCCTGGGAACCAGTTAGAATTTATTTGACTACCGTAGTCCACCATCCAGAGAACTCAGAGATACCCCCTTCCCCGTAAGCCATTTGTAACAGTCACTGTCAGTGCTGTGTGCAGTTTTTGTGGTAGGTGTCATGCCTGAAAAAACTTAGTATTTGTCCTAAAGGTGAGCCCTCTAGCATCACAGTCAATTTGAAAGAAACATCAAAAAAGTACACACTGCTGGGTGGGAACCCTTTCCCAACGTGGCATAAGCATGGCTGTTCCCATTCACTAGTATAATGCTCTGAGGAGTGGCAGCACTCGCATCTCAGCAGGTGATGCAGAGGCCCCAAGGCCACTGATGGCACCCTACACAGCCTTCTAATCCATTTACCAAAGCACTTGCAGTTGCTATCTCATGGCAAGTGAAACAGCAGTAAATACTGGACAAAGGAAAGGGGCACTGGCATTGCACAACAGTCCCCTCATGACCAGTTCCCTGGTGCTAACGATGCTGTCTTTCCATTGAAGGTGTACAACCCCAGAATCAGAGCCAACTCCCTCATCATGCAGCCCATCAGCCAAAGCCAAGCAGAGATTCGCAAGCAAATTCTCGGGTCATCTACTTCAGGTAGCGCTGTGGACACAAAAATCATGAGAATCCATCGATGGAAGCAATACAGAAATATTAAAGCCGTTTTCCTTAATTTTTTTTAGGAAAATTTTTCTGTCTGTACACTGAAGAATTTGCCTCCAAAGACATGAGGCCACTTAAACCAGCAGAAATGCAGGAAGCCAACCTAACCAACATGGTGCTTTTCATGAAGAGGATAGACATTGCAGGCTTAGGCCATTGCGACTTCATGAACAGACCAGGTAGCGTTGCATTCAGGTTGGCAGGTTTGTAGGCCAAGACTTATTTTCTTACTTCCTGCCCATAACCACTTGCTAGGAGCAAGTGGGACCCAGCAGGGCAAGAAAGCCTGAAGATTTGCTCAGTACTGAAGCATTTTTCCCATTAGCAGCCAGAATTCTCTGGCGATACCTTTAGAAGTCTATAGGAATTATCTTGGGAAATATCAGCCATTGGACCCTGGAGCCAGGAGGAATGGCCAGTTCTGCAGAAATAGAAGGGATAGCGGAGTGTTAGAATGTAAAGATGAGACCAAGAGAGGTTAAGAGGTGCATTCCCACCACTTGTAGTTTGTTAGTACACATGGTTGAAGGCAAATAGTCATTCCTTATGAATCATGCTGTCACCTGGAGAAACCTTAGTAGAATTTCACTCCTTTGTAATGTGGGTCAAACTTTGATGGGTTTGAGGTATCATTCCTCAGTTAGGATCAAGTATCATTACACTCTGAGCATTTTCCTACTGGGGATCCCACAGGATCCTTAGTGGGGTCCCTGGAGTTCTTTCCTGAGTCCCACTCCTTATTAGGACCTTGCTACCCCCCAGCTGGCTGCTTTGTAGAGAACCACTACCAGAATGCAAGGTAAAAGGCCGGGGAACACAGGGCAGGCAGCCACCCCCTGTGTGGCAGAGCTGCCAACACCCAGGGCTGAGCCCAGTGCTCAGGAAAGGAGGCCAGGCCTGTGGTTTCTTCTGCATTCCTAGTTTTTACATGTCCTGTTTGGTGTGTACACCACCTGTATCCAGGAGGTGTTTGCTTTTAAATGTCAACAACCAGCTGGTTAGGAAAGTTTACAAGCCACAATGCTCTGCTTGTTCTTGTCTGTTTAAATACCTGCCTGTCCCTTAGGATTAACAGTATTTATATGATGTCTACTGTATATCACTTCACACAGCAACTCTGTGAAGCTGATGCTATTATTTGCTCCATTTGCAGATGAGGAAACCGAGTTACAGAAATGTGATAACTCACATAAATCTTAACAGTGGTTACAAAGTCATCCTAACCACTCTGTTACCATGTCTCCTTAAAGCCCATTGGCTTACAAGGAACCTTTCTGGTGTCAGGCCTTCCTTTCCTTCTGAACATTCCCTGATGGTTCTCTTTCCCCTCCCTGCAATGCTGGCAGGTGCTCCTTGCTAAGCCGAGTCACCAAGGACACACTGTCGGCCAGTGTAGTTCCCTGTGTCCCACCTACCTGCTCCTGCTGTGGAGGCTGACAGGACCTTGCCTCTGGGCCAGCCATTGGGCTGTCAGGCATTGCCCTTCGCACAGCCCACTGCTGTCCAGCCTTGGGTCCTGTAGACCTGCTGCTGTTCTGACCTGCGACCCAACTTTATTAAAGCTAAGTGGGTGTTTGCTAAAAAGTTTCCTGACATAAAGATCTTGATTGTTTTTCAGGTAAAAATATTACTAAAATATTACTAAAAATATTACTAAAAGCTAAAATATAGCTTTTATTTCTGCTTTATACAAAAGGAACTTCCTTTATTGTTTTTCCACATTTAAAGTCAGTGGTTGAAGTATTCAGTTCTGTATGTTTGCCAAGGAGGTAAATGACAGTCTGTGAGTCTGGGAGCTCTAGTGTTAAAATCATTTATCATATTGCACAAGAGAGAAAGTGGCCAGAAGGCCTTGTAAGCAGAGGGTGTACTTAAAATGGAAGCTGCATGACTTCCATTTGTTGGCAGTACTTTTTCTTTCTTTGTCCAGTGTCAGTAGGATTTACCAGCACTAAAGAAAATGTAGCTATTTTAGAATTACTCTTTCTCAGCTGTTTCTTAAAGTGACTGGTAGAAATTTGAATAAGCCATTTTTAGTCAGAAAAGCGTCACCTAAGGATGCTCATCTTTGAGATAAAAACATAGAAAGACAAGGCAGGCTTGGTGGTATCTTCCTATCATCTCAGCATGCTCGGAAGGCTAAAGCAGGAGGATCCTGCAAGTTCAAGGCCAGCCTGGCCTACAGAGTGAGTTAAAGGCCAGCTTGCACTACATAATAAGACCTTGTCTCAAAAACAAAAGCAAAAACATAGAAAGAAATGAACTGAAGACAGAGTATCATCAGAAGAGCAGTGCTACAGCAGACAGTCTGTAAGTCCAGTGTGGATTGGCCCCAGAACAGCTCACCTGCTGCTCAAGACACATGGTCAATGTCACAAAGTAAACCCTGCTGGTCAGCAATGCCCAGTCCTTCTCTAAACCTCCTAGGGAGTTTTCTATTGAATTCTCCCAATAAAACATCTTTTTTAAAAAATTATTGGTACATTTTAGGTACACAGTACAGTTACATTCATTATTGGGATCTTGTACCTTCAATAAACATCTTGAAAAATCACTTACTTTTAGAAGAAACTGTTTCAAAAAAGATTTCAAAAAAGGTTGTTATAAAAAGGAACAGTGGGGCTGGGGATTTAGCTCAGTGATTCTGTTGCCTGCCTCACAAGCACAAGGACCTGAGTTTGATCCCCAGTTTAAAAAAAAAAAGAAAAGAAACAATGGTATCGTGGAATAAAACAAGCCCGTCTCTTCTAAATAGACTTCCTTCTTCAGTGGCCATTTCCTCCCCACCCCCATTTGGCATCTGCCCTTATAGTAAAAGGGTAATGGGCGACTCTCCTGGAAATCATAGTGCCCCTTCTCCGCTTGCTCCCTTTTGTGCTAACTCTGTGATAGAAGATGGTGTCCTTGGATGCCAGCTGTAAAGCCAGCAGCCCTGGAGGTGGCTGTCCTTGGGCAGGAGGCTGGCTTCCTTCCAGCTTAGGACATTAACATCTCAGAGCAGACGGGGAAGTCCTCGGGAATATAAGGAAGATTGGGAGGTTTGGGAGTGCAGAGAAACAAACTCAGAGGCATGCAGGGGAAAGAAGCATAAAGGGAAGACATGAAAGGTAGACCTTGAAACTTGGGTTCTGAAGCATGCTCAGCTCTCACTGCTCCCAGGAGAACTAACAGCCAGGGGTTCTGTTCCTAACGTCCAGGCTTGGATCATGTTAGGCAGCTTTTCTTGGCTCCTGGTCCCCCTTCCCCAGAAAGGGATTCATTAGGCCTGGCCCCTTTCTAACTAGCCTGAGCAATGGCTATATTATGATAAATACACTTGTCTAAAAGGGGTAGTGCCTAAGAAAGAAACAGTTATATAATGTGATAGAAAGTTGTAAAACATGTGGCAAACCTGGATTCTGTTCACTTGTGTTCCATGAACATTCTCAGATGCTAAGAAAGTTGTTAGTGGTGGGAGGAGACATGGTGGCATGCAGATGATGATCTCAGCGTTCCTTTAGCCATAAGCCTCTGCTTTTGTACAGTAACACAATCCTCTATTGGCTTTTTCTCCTGGCCCAGAGGAAGAAAATTTGGGAGATGAAAGTCTTTCCCGTCATCCTTTCTCACCAGTGACAACAGAGTTTCAGATGGCTTGGCTTTATCATCGATGGGTCCCCTCCAGTAGTCATTCCAGCAGCCTTCCTCTGGAGAAACGTGCTTCAGTTTTAAAAATTGCTTTTCAAGTCCCAGTCCCACTGATCGTCCCTCATCCCAGGAATCACAACCTGTTATGTCCCAGGCATCTAACTTCCTTCTCTGAGAGAGGATGCTTGGTGAACTGACACGAAGGGAGAAAGGCAGGATCAACCGTGTGAGAAATTTCTGATGGCAAATCCATGGCCGTGCTGTGGGGTCCCTGTGTCGTCTCGGGCCTCTCTGAGGCTTGCAGCTGATAACTGGGGACATACGGGTCAGGGTGACCATTTATTTTTGTCTCTTGACAGTACACACATATGACTATTTTCTGCTGTGCTTAGGAAAGTATAATTGTGGATTAATTCTGACTCATCATTTTGGAAACGGAAACATAAAAGATGCTTGCAGCTGCTACATTTAATTCAAATTATAATTGAAATACACAAATACAGCAAATGTGTTACCCTTTTCAGTATTCCTGAACCATGTGAAAATGAACTTGGCATAACCAGGCTATAGGCTATTAATTGAATTCCCTTGATATGGACCTCTTTTTTTTAATCAGGTTGTTTTCTTTTTCTTCCTTGGCTGCGCGAGGATTGACCTCCATCATAAACAAGAGAGCTATTGTTGATCTGGGTCAGGAACCTCAGGACCAGCTGACTGCTGTGGTAGAAACAGATGGTCTGAGGCCGCTGTTGCCCTTGGAAAGCAAGGGTGCCTAGAGAGGAACTAGAGAAATTAGCCAAAATATACTGGACTACACCAGATGTCATCTTTGAATTCAGGCTTGGAACTCATTCTGGTGTCAGCTAGGTAACTGGAGATGGGATGATTTGTGATTCCTTGCATTATGAAAAGAAAAAGAAATCAACACAGACTGCCAGGCATGGCAGGAAAAGAGGGGAAAGCGCGGACAGAGACAAGTCGGGGGGTGGACAGGCCAGCGTTGGCACACGTGCAGAGGGATGAAGGACTGCGAGGGATTGTCTGGTGAAGGTGCAGATTTTCAATGAGTGGATTCACAAGTCCGTTAACCAGGGTCTTCTGGATCACATTCACCACCCCAAAAGCTGTTTGTGAGTACACTAGAGAAGTGTGTGTGTTTTAAATCACTGGAGACTCAGGATTTTGCTTTGAAACTTACAGAATGATCTTAAAATATTATAGTCTATAATGTAGAGCAGAGTGGGAGAAAAACAGGCTACTGATTTTGCTCTCCCATTGTGTCCTTCACTCATGGCTTCTCAAGAAGTCATCGTGTCTTCAGCGGGATATGTATTCTATGCATCATTCCCCATATAACCCCGAGGTAAGCAGATATCCTGCTACTGCCTTGACAGGCTATCGGATAGGTGTTTGTTTTTGTGGAATTGTGGATTGAACTCAGGGCCTTCTCATTGAGCTACATCCCCAGCCCTTTTATAATTTTTCATTTTGACACAGTAAGTATCTTAAGTTGCCCTGGCTAAACTTAAACTTGTGATCCTCCTGCCTCAGC